CCCCCCCCCAAACCCCAGGAGTGCAGTAATCAGACTACAAACACAAATCTAATTGTTACTTTCCCTGACTGGACTAAGAAAAAAACACTAAAAAAGAGCATGAGATGTTTATCAAGCTAAACAGCTTGGAAAAAACCTTTCTTACACACTTTCAGCATCTTGAGAACAATCACAGGCCATGTTTGACATTCAGAACAAACTGAATGACAAGGTTCCAATAAAATGTACGCGTGGTTCAAAGAAAGATTAAAGTTTGAAAATTATTAGTTAAGTAAATAAAGTGTTAGGACCTTTGAAAGTGGAACTCCAACACAACAAAACTAGTTGCAATTAATGATATTTCTGTAACATCATAAAAAATCTGTTTCTTTAAAGCCTGTCTCCAGTGCTTTATTCTTGAGCAGTGATGACATGTAAAGGACATGAAACTAACCAAAGTTGAGTAATTTATTCTTTTTCAGAAGCTGTTGTTTTGTTGAAACAACTGATGGATTAAACAGGGCAGAAGCATGTCATTCTACATTTTGAATGAAGGGTTAGAAGTGAGAGTTTAGATTCTATTAAAAAAAACCTACATAGAGCAGTCAAAACTGCAGACACCAGCTGAGTTTCATTTGCTCGTCTCTAACTCTGTTCATTTGACACCCACATTTTTAACACTTTAACACTTCATGCCATCATCAAGTTTGTAGATGTACCTATATCTCGAACCATCTGTGTCTTCATTCACCACTAAACACAAAACCAGAAGGGAAGGGTCAAGTATTTTTTAGTTTCTCTGATGAATCCAACTGAACTTTTGGGACCTTTTTGGTACAAGCTACAGGCCACCTGTTGGTATCTGCACACCCACCATTTTTATAATCTGCCTCGATGGGTCTAGTAACAATCACTGCAGTTCTCTGATGGCTTTCCATGCCTTCCACTTTCTCCAGGAGTGACCGAGAACACCTGACAGCCATGACAGCATGTCCAGGAGTCATGTCACACACAAATGAAGGACATCCACTTGAGACACTTTTTCAGGATGACTGAAAGTGTGCTTCCAATAGCAGAGATCGAAATTACCTTGCTGGAACAACTCCTCCAATGTTGTTGGAAAATCGTAAATTATTTGGTATGCTGAAATTCTTAGGGCTGGAGTAAAATTTTTTATCCAGCTTTAAGTATGAAATAGTTGATTTCCATACGCTTTGGTGCAGTTAGAAATCTTGAAATACTAAAGTGAGTATGATGATCAATTGTGTTCATTCCTCCCAACCCCAATTATTAAGGTGGTCTCCTCTTATGTACATAAGAGAATTTACTAGCTGCTTCTCAAACCTGCCTTCTGAGAAGTCTATGTTGCAAGATATCAATGCAAGAAATCAAAAAAATCTCAGCTGTTTTTGACAATAGGTGACTAAATGCTCAGGAAGTCATATGGACAACTTTTGTCTTCAGCAGGCAGCACTTTTTTGTTATTAAATAGGATGCAGCTCAGTACCTGGCATAGAAGAACAAGCTGCTAATAGCTTACATATTAGAATAAATCTTTTTTCCTTCATCAGCTGATAGACCCTTACCTGCTTTAGCAGACCAAGCTATGAACTGTGTGTTCAGTGTTAAGAACTAAGTTCATTTTCAAACTTAGCTTTACAAATATTTGCTGGACAGCTGGAATAGTCACAATTTCATTATCTTTCTAAAGAAAGGGAATAATAATACTACTATTTTGGAATATTGCCTAAAACAATGGGTATAAAGGTTAATTTTGCAAACATGACACACCAAGAAATAGGAAATTTAGTTTAAAACTATGAATTCCTGGTTAAAAAATTAAATCGAAAAAAGGAAAACAGTTAAGAATTGCTTTAGCAATTTTCTTTTGTGCATTCTTCAAGTGGTAAGAAATTATGGAGTAACATATTAGGTACAGAGAACATTAACATACCTTTCCTTATATATTCAGGTGTTTCTTTTAAGGGAAATTAGGTTTCATTTTCCATGGTTAATGCAGGATTGCTCATACCTTTAAAGACAAAAAATGGTATTTCCACAGGAAAAGGTCTCATGTCTATTTCAGCAAATAATACCACCTTTAATTAACAATCCATCTTAATGTCATTCCGCTATTATCAAGTCTATTCCTGTCCTGTGTCCGTTACTCGGCTTTTCACTAGTTGCAACAAGATGTCATCATATTCTGGTATAAGCAATTTGTCGCCAAAAGAATTACCAGGCTCAGCCTAAAAGATAATTAACACCTATTGGTATTAGTGTTCTCAGTATCTCTTGGTCAGGTTTAACTGGGAAGGGCACAGCAGCTTGATACATGGAACTTCCTACAAACATGCAGTTGAAATAAGCTTCATGAATTTTGGTTCATGAATACAAACCAAGTGACCTTGGTCATTTTTACACTGCATCCTCCAAAAACAGTTTATTACAAAATGAATCATTGCAGCATAAATCAATTCCTTACCAACTTTGCCCTTTTCAGCCTTTGCACTAGTTTCTGACCAAGAAGGTGTATCCGTAAGAAGGTGGCTCTGGGAATCGCGCAACGACTTTGCAGGAAACAGGTGGTTCTCACTGTAAGAACATTAGTAAAGATTAGTAAAGAACAAAAAGAACATTAGTAAACTGCAGTAATTTTTCATTACCTTACCACACGTTACAGTTTGTCGTACGCAGTATTTTCCCTACCTTACCTTGCTGCTTTTCTGATGGATCACTACACTTTTATCATTACATACATTACATTGTAGTTGTCATAGATGCAAGTGCCATCTAAAAATCAACTCCCTAGCACAGAACAGGGAAACATTCTGATTTTTTCTTTGACAGCTATTATACATGTACTTCAATTCCAAATGCACTCTATCCATATTCTCTCCCACTAGAACAAACCTGACATCATAAATAGTGGAGAGAACATCTCCCAAATCTCTTGCCTAATATAAGCTATGGATCACTGGGGTTAAGATTTAAAACGTCAATAAACAGCTAGCTGAAATGTAATGTATTTCTTTTATGAATAAAAGATTATCAATATGATTCCATTATCATTTCTTCGTCACATATTCAAGTTTACTATACTTAACACACTCTTCATTACATAAATGTTGCAAAAAAGTTACCATATGAAATACTAAGCTATTCTCTTTATTTAGTTTAAGGAGCATCTGCATACTTATCACACTTTAAAGATGTCATGCCTGTGAAGGATAAGAATTAAGAAAGTATGTCCTATTACCAGCAGAAACAAAACAAAACATGTGCATTTAGTATGCAGCTTCCTGTGCTTTGGCACAAGTGCTGAGACCTGGGATTCCCTTACGCGAAGCATCTTTCACCAGCTATGAAGAGGCAGGCCTCCCCCAAAAGCCTTGCAAGGTAATGCATCCACATCACAGGCAGACCGACTAGCCGTCTCGTATGTAGGCAGAACAGAATGTTGCTGATACTGAATGTTAGGCAGGTGTGGAAAATTCGGGTCCTGGGATGCCACTGAACTGAGACAAAGGACATCGGGGGGAAAAAACCCCTACCTTATTTCCATAAATTTAAACATAAATCTGAGGATTAGCTGAATTACAACTTAGCTGTTTAAAATCTGACCTGTACTTATTAATAGGATACTCTTAATTTGCTTACCACTTTTAAGTATCTTACACATGGTTCTATTTATATGTGCACAGCAAAGAACCAGAATATCAACTATTTGAAACGGAGTAACAAAAAGCAGATTACTTTTTGGATGTTGAATTAAGACCACCAGGTGTGGAAGCTTGCTCAGGATCCTGATTAACAAGGCAAGTTGGGAAGGAGCAACCATCCCCTAGACTGAAAAATTCAGAATTAGTGTCATATGTACAAAAAAGAAAAAACTTCCAAGAACTGTTTTTTCTAAAGTGAATATTACTGTATCTTATTTCAAAAAACTAACCACCCCCCCAAACCCTGTGGATCCTGATTATTCAACAGTTTCAAATGGAGCATTAAAAACTGAGCATACCTTGAAAACACAGGCAGCAACCAGTACTTCTTCTCATCACCAAACACCTGCCTTAGGTTTTTGCTGAAGCCCAAGCTAAAGCCATTCTTGTCTGTTCTATGACGAAATATGGGAGCTCTGAATACCTCTTAAAAGAAAAAAATTAATTAGATCTCTTTGCAGGATGGCACATTTAAGTTTCACACCGGTATTTAGGCAATTTCACTGATGATACCATCATCCAAGAGGAAAGGCTGTACTGCTCAAATGACCGAGAAAGCTAGTCCACCCATGAAAGCCAAAGCCAGTGCTACACAGTCACTGTGCCAGCAGAGGAAGTCCTATGGCTGAGGAAGGGTGGAAATCTCCTCCACCTTCCTCTCTAATCAAGGCAAGGAAGAGCGAGGAACTCACTTTTTAAGAAGGCATGATATGTTATATGAAGATTTCAGCATATGACTATACCACAGAGAGTGTTCAAGAAAGAAAAACCTAAACAAAGGGTTTATTACAGAAAGAGTAACGGAAAAGAAGAAAAGCTTAACCTACTTTAGTAGTAAGACTAGCTTTTCACACCCTGAGGTATGAAAATATTGTGTGTTTTTACAGCTGCATAAAGCAAGCACTTTACTCGTAGACCCAGATTATTCCCCATGGATGTCCAACCTAAATTTCTGGAGAAGAGAGCTAAATATAACTTCAAGTGTTGCAAAGTGCCTGAAGCAGAAAACTCATTCACTTTCCACCAAGTGACTGATAGCCATTTACTTCCCTTAATTGGCTGCATATAGTAGGCAGACTATGTCCTGATGACCTGACAGTACAGCTCACACGAATCATGCAGAGATCGTCCTTGTGCAGTAAATCCTTAGCTATGAACTGTTGGAAATCACCTTTAACATGTAGTATGCATTAGTTACAAGGTGTTTTAAAGAAGAGGGAAGGGAAAATAGAGATACGCTTTTAGATGCCCATGTTAGGCTAGGAAAACAGCTCCCAGGATGATTTAAGCACAATCACACTTAAAGCTGTCATGGCTTCATTACCAAACTATTGCATGTTCAGGGTTTCACATATCGAGCAATTTCGCAAAGTAAAATGGGGAGAAGAGACAAACTGATCTTTTTGAGTAGGTTAAGCGTACAGAGAGCATGGTATATTACCTGCATGGAAGTCAATTTGTTTTAAAACCATGAAATGTTGAATTAGAAGTGTACTGCATTATGGTTACCTTTGAACAAATTTTTTTTTTTGCACTAAAATAAGAACAGTTTATAAACAGAGTACTTAATTATTTCTGTTCATTTAAGCATAATTGATAAAACTTTTCTCCACTTGTAACCAGATTGGACAATTTTTTTCGGATACTAATTTCTAAGTAGATGATTTTTCAGAATACTGAAGAAACCCACAAACCCTAGAGAAATCTTGAAGTAAACAAGCTTTCTTCCAATGATATATATTCAAAGTTTTCCATTATCTACATATTAGTGAAACCCAAGAGAACTAGAAAAAACAGATCAATTAATTGGCTTACTCTAATTCAGCTTATATCAATAGAAAAACATTTAGAGATTTTGAAACTTCAATGAATATAATGCAAATTGGTATTATCATAGTTCAGGATATAGTATAGAACAGGCACTCAAATCTTCTGCGCCTCTTTTTTTTTTTTTTTTTTTTTTTTTTTTTTTTTTTTATATTTTTTCCCACCATTTTTTTTTTTTTTTTTTTTTTTTTTTTTTTTTAAGATTTGTAACCAGACAAACATGCATCCAAGTAGCGGGAAATCCTGGTTTAGCACTGATATTCAATGCAGTTATATATACACTCCCACAGCAGAGGCACAGGCCACCTTCTTTGAGGTTTTTAAAATTAACTCATAACAGAGAGTCCTTTCTATGCATCTACGATTATGTGGTAGACAGGACTCACAACTGCGAAACCGCCTTTCAGATCTCCGTGTTCATTTACTACTAAATACAGAAGCACTGCCTTAAAGTCTGTTCTTCTGTATCAGATCATTCTCTGACATTGGCTCTTTGTGCTCATTCACGTTGATCAACACTAACAACACTAAGGCCACAATCAGCCTGCCTTCCAGATTTTTTTTTTTCTCTCCTTACCTCCAGTACAGGCAAAGTTTTGGAATTAATAACTATGCCTTTCAGAGCTTTTAAACAAAATGGTAGCTGAATTGAACAGAGGAACTTCAGTTCTGCAGGGGGCAAGGGTGGGAACGAAGCGCTGGAGCCACTGCCCTGACTGAGACACCACATCAGGGGTCGCTGACCTGGGGGCTGGGAACGCCAAACAAGAAGCACTTGTGGGAGCATGCATCAGTGCCTCTAACATTTACTACAAAGTAATATCAATTTTTTTTTTTTTATTTAGTTTATTCAGTTTCTGTTAACAAGCTGTGGATGGGAAGAATTAGGAGGAAGAGGATAAGTTCATTAATAGCTTGGCCCCTTGGGGTAAGAGGAAAAGAGTCAGAATTTCCAGTGAGCAGCAGAACTGGGGAATCAGTCCTGGACATTGCCAGACCCAGGCACTTCTAACCAGCATCCAAGGAACCTGCAGAGGATTGCCCACTTTTTCCATTACCCCCATATATAGAATATACATCTATTATTTATTTTTTGCTGTTAAACACAGAAGCATTAAATCTACTTACCTAATGTAGACTTATTCTTGCTGACAAGCCAACAGTGATACCCAAAGAGAGAAGACAGACTGACAGAAAACATAGCTGCAGCAAAGAATAAAAACATGATGTGGAACTTGGCTTGAGTATCAGGAAGGCCATTCTAAAAATAAAAAAAAAATTATGCCATTACAATTGGGGAAATAGCTGTTTAATTTGATTATTAATAATCCTCTATTCAGCCAAATCAAATTCAGTGCAGACACAAACGTACCACACATCAAGAGTCTGCATAAATGAATTATACACCTTCTATGTACAGACGTCCACACAATTAGGTTGCTGACACCATCTAAGTTAAAGAAATGGGCCCTTTTTTGCGGAAGTATCAATACTGACAACAAGAATTTGAAATTTGGATCTGAACTTTAAAGTGTCTTTTAGTGAATAATAATTTATCTTTACAAAAGTTGTCTTGTTTAATTAGCCTTTTCAGAATACTTATATTATAGCATAAATATTGCAAATCTAAGAAGGTAATATCATAAGTTGTGAACCCAGATAAACATAATTAAAATACTAGAAAATATCTCTGAAGCTTTTTCATAGCATAGCATTAAAGGAAGTTAACAAAACCTATCTATAATATAAATTCCCTTGTAAAATGTTTTATAAATAATTGCATACATGTTCTACGCAGCTTCAAAATAATGAAGAAATAAGTGAAATTTCATAAACTATGATAAACAGAAAAAAATAGAGGGCTATGATTATTAGATAAACTTTTGTATCTCAATTAGGAGATACTGGATTACAACGTAATGCCTCCGAATCTTAAGACTTCTCTCACAGTGGTAACTTCACACGCTTAAACACAGTATGTAGATTAGGGTACTTACTGTCCAAAATTTGATAAAATACTGTAAATCCGTTGCAGCAATGAAAAGGCAATACAGTAGTGAGTAAGCCAAGAAGAGAAGAAAAAATTTGTAATTGGAGAATCCTACACAGTTGTTCACCCTGATAACAAAAAAAGTAAAAGTAAAAATGGAATGTAATGAAAGTTATTTTCTTTGCTTTCATCCAATATAAAATTAAACTTATTTACTCTAAAAAAGTTAGTATCAGCATGTAAACCAAGTTTTGCTTCCTATGTCTGGTGCCTCAAGCTACTGAAATGTATTTAGCTTCAACTCCCAAGTTAGTGTAGTAATTCGAACCAGAGCCAAAAACGAAACATGACCACCACCAACACAAAAAACCCAAAGAACTTTGCCAGGTAGTACCACTTTCAACAGCCTAGTGAAATTGAATTTTCACTTATGGTATGAAATCTGTTCCCAGCACATCTGATGTAAATGTGACTGCAGTTACAGTTACTTTTTTAGTTTGTAGGTAAGTTTAAGTATCCTTGTTTTACCCTTAGGCACATAACAACTGGGACAGTTACAAGCCAACAATTTGAATCTCGACTGAATTTTGTGAGAATAAAAGCAGTCTCATTTAATCCACATCCTCCTTCATTAATCACACTACATACTATAAATTCTTAGTAAGATTCTCAAACTTAAGAGTATTCATAGGAGATTCCTAAAAATATTTACATTTGTATAAAGTAATGAGGGAAATACTACTGTTGAAATGTTCCGTATCAGTGACAACATGACAGCAGATAAAAGAGATTAGGAACATGTAAATACACATCCAAATGTTAAAATAAATCTCATTTTATCATTTTTACTTATGGGCTTCAAGTTCACCTGTTTCACATTTTTAAAGGATTTATATATGATAATGAGCAACTAGTATACACTATCATCAGAGAGACATGATAAGGGTACATTTAGTACCATTGCAGCTTCCCATTAGAGGCAATATATTAAGCAGTATGAATTTTAGAGCTCTATTAAACATGTAATGATATTACATATACCAAATGAAAAATATTGGAGTGCTGCCCATGGACAGTTTATTGGTAAACAGCTTCCTCTTTCTTTTATCTGGTTGCATTAAGAAGCTAACCAAAGTTATCATTGCACCGCTAACTTTGGCATAACTCTCCATACGAGTTAAAAAAAAAAATTCCATATACCTTCTTCAACTAATTGCTATTGCTGTCAGAAAGATCAGCTAATTAAGAGAAGAAAAGCACTTGTATGTTGAAAAATAATTCTCAAAAAATAAGAAGTCCTGGCGAGTCTCAACGTTCGCTTCCAGAATTGCAGGACAAGGTATTGCAACTATTCTCTTCTTTAGGGAGACAGTGATGGTAATGGCAGGATACATGGTAATCAGAATAGGGTAGAATCTTAAAACACCAAATAAACTTTCACTGTACACTACTGTTACCCATCCTTAGGGTGGATAGGGGGTTTCTTTGTTTTGTTACTTGTTTTGTTTTTCCAAAACATGCCACCTTGGCTAAACATTAAACTTAGCATCGCCACTTAAACATGCAGCAACAGCTAAGCATCTGTATTAACTACAGTTAAGAAGGACGCACAACAGATTGTTCTAATTGAAAATAACCGGAAGATATGCTTCTAAGCTCATCACGATTCTTATTTGAAAGTAAATCTACAGTTCTCCACAGTGAAGTGTTCTTTTTCATTAAATATGTTAAAGTAAGCAATGTCATGATAAAACAGATTCAAGGTTTCTATGATAACCCTGTTTTCCTTTCATCATAAAGTTGTTACTTTATAACACTATTTAGTGTGAGAAAAGAAATACCAAGTGAAATGTTATTCCCCAAAGATGAAATTTCTTGAATCAAAGACAGATTTCTTTCTCGTTGTTCTTTTGCACTACTGCATACGGTACACACATTAAAATAAACTTTCATAAAGTATTGCGCTCCCTTCAATTTTAACAAAGCCCCAGACTGAGGAGTTCTTACTGAAAGAGAATAGTTCATCAGAAGACTTAAGAGAAAGAATGGTGGTTAGATTTGAAGCCTAACATTTTTGAGGAAGACTAAAATGGATAAATGTACTGACAACTGGCTAAATAATGGTGTACTATTGCAGTGAAACATTCGTACAGAAGAACGGTCCAGGTTAACAATTTGGATTACAGATAACATTTAAAACACTTAATTTTGAAGTGCAAGAATAAGAGATATGCTTTCTGTCTCAAGAGTTAGTTTACTGAAACTGCCAGGCAAAGAAATAACTTACAAAGCACTGAAGGCGATGCAACTCAGTTAACAAAAAGCATCACAGAATTAAGGAGATGCTAAATTCTTTTCAGATGACTCAAAAGACAAAGGAGAGATGTTTCAAGTGATTCCTAAGGTGTTCCTAATGCACCTTGTTAGTATTAGAGTTGTTATATACAAATTATATTTTTGGTGATGCCTCAAGCCATGGCATTCCT